GTTCTCCAGCTCTACTCCCTTATAGTCAGACTGTCCTGTACAAATACCACAGCCCATTGCTGGCACTACTTTTCAAACCCAAAAGACAGCAGCAGCGACAGCAACAACCTGACTCAATGATCACAACCTTCTGAGCTACCAGAGCATGGGAGGAAAGAGGAAAGTTTTACAGATAAATGGTGAGACAATTTCTGAAGCCTGCCTTTTAAAAGAGGTGGGGAGGAAGGGTATGTACGCTGGGAATGAATTACTGACTTCCATCTAGGTGTCCCACTAAGCCAATATTTTACAAAACCAGGTATGTGTAATTTGCTTACTAAAGTTCTCACCCTGGAGCAACCAACAAGACCCATCAGTTTTTGAAGATATGTGTTCATATTTGTGTGTGTGTGTGTGTGAGTGATTGTGGTTTCTAGCTTCTTGTTCTATTCTTCCTACCTCTTTTCTCTTTCCCTCCAGTCTTCTGCACCAGTTTCCCAAAGTTAGTGTGGTCCCCCATTGTCCTCCAGCCTTCTAATCTCTTTTTCTTCTTCTACCTATTTTTCCCTTATTCCCTTTTAAATTTTAACCTCTGAGGTTTGTATTAAGGATTTATATACAGAATATAATTTTCTGGCCTGTTAGATTTATTATATAACTACAAACCTGGTTCATATAGTTAAAGATGGAAAAGTAATGGTTACCTCAGTTTGTCATTTTTCTGAGCTGTGATTGTTGCTACTGTTATAGCCAAAAGTGACATGATTCTTCTGAACAGTTATTCTTCCTGGTATTCCAAGACTGAAGTTGACTCACAGAGAGCAAATTGGTCAAGCAGTGGCCATGACTCATCCATATGGCTGACACTGACAAAAGATCTACAAACTGTGGTACAGGGTTTCAGGGTAAATCCTGAGGGGATCTGACTGACCTTGTCAGATTCAAAAGTTACATTTCTTGTTATATAGTTCTTGCTTTATCTTGATCTTAACCATCCAGCAGAAAAGTATCAAAATGAGGTATAAAAAGTAAAACCATATTAATGTGCTGAGTTGTAAAAGGCTCAAGTCAATAACTTTTGATATTGCCAGTCCTATGGATAACCCACTACTATTATGGACTAAGGGACTACATTGGATTATTTTGCTGAATTCATGCACCTACAAAGTTGGCAATGGAATATCCATCTCTGACAAAACTAAACAAAAGGGGTATAAATGAAGGACCATTTTGTATCTGTATATACAGAATAGTTAGGATAAATATACAGCTACTTTCTCTTAATTCAATGAGAAAAAAGATTTGTACTTATAGTGTTTGGACAGGATATCATGTCTGCATCTTGTACTATGAATAACCACTACGAAGACAACAATATGTAATATATTAATTATTGAAACTGTTGTACTAATTGGTTTTGAATTTATTTTATTTTATTTTATTATATTTTGGCAGAACTGGGGATTGAACTCAGACCCTGTGCTTGCTAGGGAAGCACTTATTCTACTGAGCCATCTCCCCGGCCACTAATTGATTTTGAAACTGTCTCATTACTATTCGTTTTTCAATAAAATTAATTTTAAAGACTGAAATTGACCATGACTCATAGAAAATAGTGTGGTGCAGTGCCAGAGAACCAGTGAGCCAAATAGGCAGCAACTTCTCCCTAACAAACTGAAGATGTAGGATCTTGTAACAGACTTAAAATTCAAAAACCAGTTACCCCTGGAAGATACCCCATAGAAGTCATTTCCTAAGAGTTTTGAATACTAGCAATAGAGCAATCTGCCAAAGGCAATTTACAAGTATAATTCCAGGAATTAAACTAAAAAAAAAAAAGAGAAGATACTCAAGCAAGATACAACTTGAGATATCCAGTTCACCAAAGCCAAACCCAGACATGGGACAATCCAAAAGCCACCCACTAGGCCTTTCTGAAGTGGTAACAATAAAGCAATTGAATGAGGCACTAGAAAAAATCAAATCAGAAGTAATTTCTCAGATAACAGAGATGAAGACCATGCTTAGTGATTCTAGAGCAGATATAGAAGAAGAAAAAAAGTAGCTTAGGAAAATTATGGAAGCCATGAATGCTCAGCATATGAAAGAAGGAATCCATAAAGCAGATTCAAGCAGATATCCAGGATAATAAAAATTCCATTGAAAGTATCTGCAGCATATGAAGTCAGTGTGAGGCCCAGATCTCAGATATAGAAGACAGGCTTGCAGTTAGCGATCGTGAAAATAAAGATTCCATAAAAGTAGCAAGAGACAGTCAGAAATCAATCCAGCAGCTGGTAGACAAGGCAAAGAATAACTTCAGATGGTTAAAGTTGATGAAAAAGCAGGAGATAGCACAGATGATGTAAAAAATAGTTCACAGACATTATGGCAAAAAACTTCCAGACAGGGAGAAAGATTTCATGTACAAATAAGTGAGGAATATAGAACTCCAATTAGGCACAACAACAACAATAATAACTATAGCCAAGCATATCATAATGAAGATTCCAGAAATTCAACATGAGAAGCACAAGATTCTGTTTCATAAAATAAAAGGGTTGGGTACATAGCTCTGGAACAGTGTCTGTAAGGTTGATCCTTAGTGTCTATTGTCCAAATCTCAAGGAAACCTGTGAAAAATTTACATTGCTGGCTGACTTCAGCTCTAGGCCATCCTACTGAAAATCTGCTCAAGTTCTTTTGAAAAGTCCCTGTGCAGGGCTACTGTCCTGTGCATGTGTCTACAGTTTTATAATTTCCTGCATCTTCAGCCAGCTTTGCTACACCCTACTTTCCTATCTCATATGGATGAAGCAAATATGGCAGAATAAGTTGCTAAATCTTGATGTGATAGGCATAAGGATATTAATGTATCATTCAATTCTTTGTATATTTGATCTGCTTTAAAATAAAATGTCTTTTAGAGAGAAAGAAAAAATAGTGAAAGACAGTATAGTGTATGAAACTAAAGTACACAAAATACTAACAGTAAATATAACAGTATGCAAGAGCTAAGAACAAACATGTCAGTCATTACCAGTACCTGTGTATGGGTTTCACTTTCTTGTGAATTTCAAAAATAAATCACCATCTGCTAAAGAAGTAGGAGAAAAATATCCTAACTGTTCACATTGGCTTGTGTTTAGTGTTTGTCTTTTATTTTCCAAAGACACTTTTAGCACGGTTGATGTAGAAGATCATGAGTGTGGCATGTGGCTGCTCCTGAAGGCGAGCAAGTCAGAGGACAGGACCACACGACTGGAGGCTGTGCAGGCAATGTCAGAGGCCCACCACTGGCACGGTATGGAGACCAGCTGAGTTGCAGCGCTCTATCTGCTAGCTTATTACTTGTGGTATAAAGGAGGAGGAAGTGATATGAAGGAAGAAAAATAATTCAATGTATGTTTCATTGCAAAAAAAAGAAAACAAACACATACATACTACAATAAAAGACACATTGCCAAGAATGATAGGATAAGTGTGTTCAACTCAAGAGAGAAATTTTTTATATTTTGAAGGGGATTATTATAAAGTATGGTCAAAAATTTTAGAAGTGCCAAATATAAAGAGGAAACTTACTAGCGTGGTAGCCAGATGTGAGAGAAGCTTTTATATA